TGAATTAAGAAATCTCAAAGAATCCCAAGTAGAATTACCTTTAAGAAAGTTATACAAGGGGCACCTGGATGGCTCAATAGGTTAAGTGTGTGACTTCAGCTCAGGTCATGATTTTGCAGTTTGTGGGTTTAAGCCCTGCATCGGGCTTTGAGCAGACAGCATGGAGCCTGCTTGGGATTCTTTCTCCTTCACTCTTTCTGCCCCTCCCCCATTCATGCTGACTCTGAAATAAACTTAAAAAAACGATCAACCAAGAATTCTTAACTAAAACATATTTCAAAAAGGAAGTCAAGCAGAAACTTTTAAATGCAATGCTTTTAGATCTGTGCAAGAAGAAATATTAAAAGAAGCTCTTCAAGGAGAAGGGAGATGATACCAGATGGAAATTTTTCTGTAGCCAAAGGAAGATTACCGGGGGATAAATGGAGACACTTAATAATGATAAAATGGTCAATTTATCACGAAGCACAACAATCCTAAATATATATGCACCTAAAAAGAGCTTCATGATACAAAAAAAAAAAAGAACTAAAAGGAAAAATAGAAAAGTCTACAATTATAGTTGAGGATTCCAACATTCCTCTCAGTAACTGACAAAAATAACAGATAGAAAAGCAATATGAGTTAAGATTAAGCAATATTATCAATCCACTTGACCAAATTGACACTTACTGAAAACTGCAGCTAACAAAACCAAGATGTGTAATATTTTCAAGTACTCACAGAACATTCATTAAGGTAGAATATTTTTGGCGACCAAACAGAATTTTAAATTTTTTTTTTTTTTCTGAGAGAGACAGCAGGGAAGTAAGCAGGGGAGGGGCAGAGAGAGAGGGAGATACAGAATCTGAAACAGGCTCCAGGCTCTGAGCTGGCTGTCAGCACAGAGCCCAGTGCTGGGCTCGAACCCATGAACCACGACCTGAGCCAAAGTCAGATGCTTAACCAACTGAGCCACCCACGTGCTGCTACAAAACAGAATTTTAATACAGTTAATACATTTAAGAAGTTTGAAATTATACAAAGTATGTTCTTTGACCAAAACAGAAATAAACTATAATAAAAGAAAAATATCTAGAAAATGTCCATATATGTTAACAATTAAACAGCACATATAGGAAAATTTACTGCATTAAATGCTCAGATCAAAAAAGACGAAAAATTTCAAATCAATCTAAGCTTCCATCTTAAAAAAAAAAAAAAACCTAGAAAAAGAAGAGGAACTATATCACAAAAATAACAAAGTAAATAAAATCCAGTTAGTAAGGATCAGAAATCAATGAAATAGAACACACTGATGTGTGTACACATAGCAAACCAATGAAACAAAATGCTGGTTCTTTGAGAAGAATCATTAAAACCAAAAAACCACTAGCTAATGAGAAAAAGGGGGAAGACACCAATTACCAAGATCAGGGAGATTATCCATACAGATCCTACAAACATTAAAATGATAATAAGGGAAGATTCTGAACAAACACTAAAGCTCATCCAAGAAGAAATAATCAACAAAATGAAAAGGCAACCTACCAAAAGGAAGAAAATATTTGCAAGTCATATATTTGATAAGGGATTAAAAATCAAAACATATAAAGAAATCCTATAACTTAATAACAATATAAAAACCCCACAAATAATTCAATTAAAATAGGTAGAAGATCTGAATAGATGCTTTTCCCCAAAGATACACAGATAGCCAATAAATACATGAAAAGATGGTGTTCAACATCACTAATCATCAAGGAAATGCAAATCAAAACCACGACGACATATCAACTTACAACTGATAGCATAGCTATTATGAAGAAGACAAGAAGCAACAAGTATTTGCAAGGATGTGGAGCAAAGGGAACCCTTATATACTGTTGGTGGGACTATAAACTGGTACAGCCACTATGGAAAGCAGTATGGAGGTTCCTCAAAAAATTAAAAATAGATTTACCATATGATCTAGCAATTACACTTCTGGGTATTTATTTGAAGAAAACAAAAGCATTAACAGAAAAAAGTATATGCATCCCCATGTTTGTTGCAGCATTAAAAACTCCTTCTAGGGGCACCTGGGTGGCTCAGTCTGTTGGGTGTCTCACTTCTGCTCAGGTCATGATCTCATTGTTCATGAGTTCAGCCCTGTCGGGCTCTGTGCTGGCAGCTCAGAGCCTGAAGCCTGCTTCGGATTCTGTGTCTCCCTTTCTCTGTCTATGCCTTGCTCATGCTCTTTCTCTCTCAAAAATAAACAAAAAATAATTTTAAAAACATTTATTCAATTTTGAGAGAGAGTATGTGAGCAGGGGAGGGGCAAAGAGAGGGGGACAGAAGATGTGAAGCAGCTCTGAGCTGACATCAGTGAACTAAATGCAGTGCTCAAACTCACAAACTCTAAGATAATGACCTCAGCCAAAGATGGCGCTCAACTGACTTAGCTACCCAGGTGCCCCTCATTGCAACATCTAGAATAGCTAAGATGTGGAAACAACCTAAATGTCTATTGATGGATGAATAAATGTATATATTGAATGGGATGTCATTCTGTCATAAAAAGGAATGAATTTTTTCCAGTTGAGACAACAGGGATGGGCCCTGAGAGTATTATGCTAAGTGAAATAAGGTAAAGTTAAATACTGTGTGATCTTATTTATATACAGAATATAAAAATAAATAAATAAACCATGTTCACAGATACAGGGAACTTGTGGTTACCAGAGGTGGGGGATGGAAGTGGGTGAAGAGTCTGTAATACACAGCTTGGCATCTATATTAGTACCATACTGCATATTTGACAGTTGCTAAAGAGATCTTCAAAGTTCTCATCAGAAGAAAAAAAAAAATTCTGTAACTATGGTGACAGATGTTAATTGTGATCATTTCACAATATATACATGTATCAAATCATTATAATGCACATCTGAAATTAACATAATGTTGTATGTCAACTGTACCTCAATTTAAAAAATTTAGTTATGTTCTCTCTGGTTAATATCTTATTGTAGTTTTACATTTAATATTGTATGTTGTTACTGTTACCAAATGTTACTATTTTGCACAAACTGTTAACATTCAATATTGTATGTTGGTACTGTTACCAAAAATGTTACTATTTTGTACAAACTGTGGCTTTAAGGTTATAAAGTAAGTTTCCTATTTTGTACTATACAGTTAGTAGTATGAGGAATATCGGTCAGGGTCTCAAGTGGAAAGTGGAAACAGCACACTCAAATTAAGATGAACCAAGGATATTTACAAAGTGGCAGGCTGAAGAGGGAATCACAAGATTAATGCAGTAACCAAAATAAGCAGCACGATACTCCTAAGACATAAAAAGATAAGGTGTGGGGTTATCACTCTCTAAAATGCCATGTTGAAAGGATCCTTTGATCAAAGGATATAGCCAGCACAATCAATCTCACTCAGGTAGAGGATATTGGGAAATTATTATCTTGACCTTTTAGGTTTCCTCCCATCTTTTGCTAGAGCTCCTTACAGGTTTACCCCAATAAGAATCCATAATGAGGGGACCCAATGACAGAGTACAAGCTGGCCTTCCAGCAGAGTGGATGTGGTGTGGAAGGGCAAACAGGTGCTGCCAGGTACGTGTTGCTTATTTTAATCAGAAGTACTCCCGTCTGTACTGACAAAACAAACATTAATTAATCAGGACTGTGGCTGCTGGTGACAGAAACTAAACTTTTTTTTTTTTTAAATGTTTTATTTATTTCTAGGAGAGAGAGAGAGACGGCGTGAGCAGGGGAGTGTCAGAGAGAGAGGGAGTCACAGACGGAAACAGGCTCCAGGCTCTGAGCTGGCAGTCAGCACAGAGCCCGACGCGGGGCTCGAACCCACGAACCGCGAGATCAAGACCTAAGCGAAAGTCGGACGCTTAACCGACTAAGCCACCCAGGCGCCCCAAAAACTAAACTTTTTAAACAACAACAAAAAAAAAGTTGGAAAAACTAGGGAAAGGGCTGGAGAAGAGATGAATTTACGGAAACAAATGCTACTGATGTATAACCTTCCTCCTCTACGTGCTGGTTTCTTTTGTAACAAAGTGGGGACTTGGTCTCCAGGAGCACTGGGGTGGCATCTCTAGAGCAGTATAATGAGACAAGATGAGACTCAGCTTCCAACTGCTCAGAGAAAAGTCTTAGAGAGAAGAACTTTACTAAGAGATATTACGATCTGCATAAATGGGCTAGGGAGACTGATTTGAAAGATGTTACTTCTCACCAAATTATAAGCATAATGTAACACTAACCTAATTTTTTGGAAATATAAAAAATAAAATCTAAACTTCATCAAGAATTTGCCAAGATACCAAGATTTAAAAAAAAAAAAAGGAATAGCAAAGGTAACTTATTCAATTATTAAAATGCATTATCAAGTGATTAGAAATTAAAGGAGTTATGTTGACGGAAGAATGGCAAGTTAACTGAACAAAACAGATGTGGTAGGTATGTGCATAATAAAGGACCCAAATGAAAGGGATGGGAACAGATTTAACCATTAAATGGTGCTGGGAAAATTAACTATATAGGACAAAATCATGCCAGATCCTTAAGTCACATCTTAGACCCAAATAACTTCCAAGTCAATTAAAGAGAAATGTAAAAAAGAAAAGCATAAAATATGATAGGTGAGATGAATATTTAATCTTGGGATGTAAAGGATTTTTTAAGCATAGATTTTACAACATACATAATGTACAACTCAAATGTGAAAAAATTACATGCAAAATTGAAAGACAGACTAGAAAAACAATCTTAAACTGAAGAACTATTACTATACTATATAAAAATATTTAATGAAAGAAACAGCAAACTAGAAAAACAATCTTAAACTGAAGAACTATTACTTTACTGTATAAAAATATTTAATAAATGTTCACTAAATGATGTTTGTTGATTAAATATTACTGTTCTGAAATTAGAGAAAAACAAAGCTAATTATTTTGGATAACAAAAGATAATATTACCTTATTGAAAATAAACGCTTTACATTGGCCATTCATAATTTAGTATAATTTTATTTTCATTATACCTATAAAGGAAGAGTAAAATACACACAGAAGTAAGACTCACATATTTCTCATTTTTAGAAAATCAAGTCCTTTAGGGTCAAAGTGGTCATTTTATTTTCTATCCTTCACACAGGTTCACTGTGAATAGCTTCACTCAGATTACTTAGGTTTTGTTGTACGATACATTAACTGGTATAATTAAAAAAAAAAAAAAACTTGTGAAAAAGTCACTCACTTGACATGGAAAATTAAAGAGATAGAATGAGTTCTAAAATGATCTGAATTTAATAAAGAATTCATTTAACTCTACTCAAGAGTTGTAACTGAACACTTTTTTTCTAATGGGAAGAACAAATTCAGAATATGCTTTAAATACCAATTTAAAAAAACACAGAAAATATGAATAGTGGCTAAAAAGATAAGTGGGTACATTCAATGAAAATTTTTATTTCAATTATCCACAAAATGATATTATAATACCTTATAAAAATATTAAGTTGTAGGCTACCATTATTCATTTAAAAAGTGTGCTAGGAGGTTGTTTCTGCCAACATCCTTTTCTGGTGAGGGTTAAGTTCCACAATAAGACACTGAAGATGAAAAGCTGCTGGAAAAAAAAATCTTCAAATGTACAAAGTTGTTTTATTTTTCTTGGCAATTTAAAAATACATAACCATTTAAACTGAATACACATTAAGTTAGTGTTTTATTTCCTTACTATACAATTGATATTATAAGGAACTGCTCCATTTAGTTAAAACCTAATGAATACCATCAACTTTTCCTGACTTATTATTCTGAACACAATTAGTACATAATTGTTATCTTCTTTAAAAAGCTTAGAAAAATTATAATATCATAGTTCACATAAAGCCCTTTAAAAATCTGATGTCCCCGGTTGTAGATGTTCAAGGTAAATGACAGCAGTCTCTTCTTAAGAAGACCCTCTTGGAAGAGGAATTCAATACTAAACAGGTTACGTAAACATTAGAAACCTCCACAATTTTTAGTACCAGAACTGTTACCAACTTGCATGAAGCTCATTTGTCACATTTTAAAATGGTCTGAATTTCAACAGTTACCATGGCACACAATTTTAAACGTAATGATTAAATCAGTTAAGTGATGGCAGTTAAAACCAGCTAGGGGCTACTGGGTTTTCAAGGTTACCGTGGAGCTGGCAGATAGGAGTTGTGATCAGGTCAAGTAAAACACAACAAAGCTCACTCTTCTCACTGTTTAAAGATTCAACCATTTTTTTAAAATGAATGTTGATAAGGAGAAAAAAAAGAATTCTAAAATATGGGAACCTGATGTATTGCATTAAAAGTGTGACTATAAACGAGAATATTTTAAAACACAATACCAAAACAAAAACAAAAATACCAGACTTTAATTCATCAGATTCAATTCCTTTGCTAGACACTTAAACCAATAATGCTGCTATTCAAATTCATATTTTGGAGTTTCTTTTTGAGTCAATCATACAATTCTTGAGTTTTATTTCTACATTTTGAATGGAAAAAACTGTCCCCCCTTTCACCACTGTTGTTATTCTCAATAAGTTCCCCTCCCCAAGTCAACTAAATTCTAAAAGGGAAGAGAAGATCACTATTAAGTATATTTAAAAAGTTAATGCAGATTTAAACATGGATTTGAAAACTGGAGTTCTAAAATGTTCGCATAAAAGCTGTTATCATTGGAATTAGCGGGAAGCCTTAAATTAGCTATTTGAGGCTGTAACACTCATTTAGTGTTTGTTAAGAAAGATTAGTTTTAATCATACCTTGTAACTCTTAAAATCTCAGAAAACAGAGAATTGAAGAGCTGTGAGTGCCAGCAAAGCAATTTTGTCACTCCTTAATATTAAGTATAACATCCCATCTGTAAAATTTTCACATTTTCTTTTCTCATATTTCTTTTAAATATTTTCCTCTCTGTCAATCTATTTTCAGTAAGAGCAAAAGTGCATTCCAGTCCCTGATCTAGTGATATTTCATATTTGTGGCACCCATCACTGTAAGTACATATCAGAAATCTCTCACAGTACCAGTCTATTTTTTAAAAAGGACTGTTTATATGCTAGGTCTTATTTTTTCATGCTATCTAAAGATTAAAAGCTTTCCCCTTGGATTGGACAGTATGACTTCAATTATATGTTGCCTTAAAAAAAAAATCAATGCAACATTATAAAAAATTAACTCACTTCCTAGTTACCATCATTATTCTAAACTGAGCTATTCAGAAAATGATTAAAGTAAAAATCTTCTATTTTCCAGTTCCGTGAGTATTAACATAGTGCATTACATTTTCAAATGCCACTACTGTGGTCTAACATTTCATCAAGTTTTAGATGCTGTTTATATTCCTTTTTGTTTCTAAAAATCTGGCCCATTTCCATGCAAAAGAAAGCAGGTACTAAGACTGCATAGTAACAGTTCAACTTAGAAAAAACTTGTGAGAACAATGAATGCAAGAAATCTTTAAAAAGTGGAATGGAATTGTTTGGTCCCATGAAGTTCCTTAAGTTTAGATTTTATTATGGTAGAAGTGTTTTTATCTCCCAAGTTTTGTCTATAATGATACATAATTTTCTCTTAACAATTCTGAGTTTGGGAAATAAAAGAAAGGAAGTGGTTTATAAAGAAGTAGCCCTGATGCTCTTCACTGTTACATTATCACTCACACTCTCATCAATATCATAACTATACTTCTTTGGACCCTGAAATAAGTTGGAAGATTCATCATTGGTACTTCAGAGTTTAAAACTTGAAAAAAAAAAAAGTGGTTTGTGCAACCATATCTGGAATTCCAGTTTACCATTAAAAACATGCAGAATGAAAACGACTTTCTTCTTTTGATTCCTGTAGGTAAAGTAAGGAAGTCTACACAAGTTCTTTATATTTTGGCAGATTTAGGCATACAAAAGGCTATGTGGATTATAAATTTTCTCCTGGCTGGTATTGTGGCTCTGTAGCAGTGAAGTAGTCTTCCAAGAAGGACTGAATATATTCAAATGTTGGTCTTTCATCAGGGTCCTTCTTCCAACAAAGATTCATCAATTCATGTAGGGATTCTGGGCAGCCCTGAGGGCAAGGCATTCTGTATCCTCGTTCCACCTGTTCTAGCACTTCACGGTTTACCATACCTAACACAGAAGATTCAAACATTAAAAAGAGGGATCCCAAACTCCACTTCAAAGCAAAACAGAACATATCCCCTAGCCACTAACTGATTCAAGGTATAGTAATTTTATTTAGCGAAGATTCTTTCAAAAATGAAATAAAGTAAATTTTAAACGTCAAGTATATCAAGAAGATGGTAGAAAATGCAAGCCTGTTCCAACAGGTCTAATTTTGCCAGCACTGGTGGTGGTGAGCATAGCTGCCTTCCAACAGGTCTAATTTTTTTCATTCCACCTAAAATCTTACTTTAACACTAATGCCTTCAAAAGCCAATCCCATTTGATTAATGAGAATTTATTTTTTTTAATGTTTTATTTTTGAGAGAGAGAGAGAGAGAGAGACAGGGGAGGGTCAGAGAGAGAGGGAGACACAGAATCTGAAGACAGGCTCCAGGCTCTGAGCTAGCCGTCAGCACAGGGCCCGATGTGGGGCTCGAACCCATGAACCATGAGATCATCACCTGAGCTGAAGTTGGACGCTGAACTGACTGAGCCATCCAGGCGCTCCTGAGTAATGAGAATTTAGAGTGCTACTTTAAAGTACCCCATACTTTCAGATATTAAGTTAACAAAAAGCAAATTTGGGTTAATGAGGGATATGGTGGCAAGATAAGGTCTAAAAGAACTTCCAAACAGAAATTCAGAAGAACCAAAGTTCTAGTCCTGATTTTGCCAAACATATTAACCATGTAACTATATCAATGCACTTCCCTGAAAGTTTCCTTATCTATTATCACGAGTTTGCCTTTCTTCAAGTTATTATACACATTTATCTTCTTGTATTCCTTTGCAATCCTGCCCCCATCAGTAGCTCACCCTGTGTTATGATAGGCTAAGCATACCCTCAATTATTGGAGGTGTGGGAGTGGTGTTAGGGTAATGACTCAGGATATTTAAGATATACTTATTATCTGAGAGAACAGTAGAGAAAAGGCCCTTTTGGAAAATGTCCTAACAGAGAAAGATGAGGTGAATGTGGGTGCAACTTATTCATTTGCCCAATCTCAAGGATTGTGATTCCCATAGGATGCTGTCCATCCAATGCCAAAATAAAGAGGGAGACAAGAAAGGGACGGAGGGAAAGGACAAAAGAAGGAGTGGGGAAGAGAGGGGGTGAGAAAGAGAAGGGAGAAAAGAAAGAAATAAATGCCTTTAATGCATTTCTGGCCCATATATATATATATTTTATATTATATATATATATATATTTTTTTTTTCCTAATAAACTTTAGTTAAGTACGTTGGCATAACCAAGACCTAAATGAAATGCCAACTTACCTGGATATGGCACTCTGCCTTTTGTTACCAGTTCTGTCTGTAGAATCCCAAATGACCATACATCAGATTTTATCGTAAACCGACCATACAGTGCAGCCTCAGGAGCTGTCCATTTGATTGGAAATTTTGCACCTAAAAAAACATTGACAGTCTTGCTTAAGTAAATTGTTTAAAAATCTTCTTGTGTAAATACAGCATAAGCAGGGCTAATCTTCTGTCAATATCTTTACTGTGTCATCAGTGTCAAATTCTTCAAAAGTACAAAATACGTGGGAAGAAATTCTTGTAAAATTTACATTAAAGTAAATAACATTTCCTCCTGGTAAGATAAAGCAATAACATAAAAATGAGAAATGTTGGCGGGGTTAGAATGTTCAAGAAAATAGAGGTAGAAACTCTAACAAGCAACTAAGAACATAATTATAGGATCTATTACTTTTAAGGAAGTCTAGCACCTAGTAGCTATAGCTAAATGTTGATGAGGGCATATTTTGTTGAGTTCTAATTTTAAAAGACTGTGTTAATTTATTCAGATATTTACTCAGATATCAGAGTATGCTTTTTATGCACAAGACATTTGCTAATCATTATGGGAGACCTAAAAACACAGGCTTTGTGAATCTTAGCCACTTCTGAGTGGAAATAAGATTACAGGTGTCTTATATATCTATGTATATATTCAACGTTGTAAAATAGTTCTTCAGATATTCAGAAAAAAGGAAGATTAATTTTCACTAGCAGTCACAAAAAATTTCATTTAAAAAGTAGCAGCGAAGTTAATCTTTAAAGAATGGTTAGAATTCTTATAGGTAAGAATTACAGAAGAAGAAAATATTCTAGCTGGAGGGAACTGCACAAAGGTATAGAGGCTGAAAAGAAAGCCTTATGTTGAAGGCAGGGTTTCTTAACCTAGCACAACTGGCATTTGGGGCTGGTTAAGTCTGGTGGGGGACTGGCTTGTACACTGTAAGATGTTTACCAATAATTCTGGCCTCTACTCACTAGATGCCAGTAGCAGTCTCCTGGCTGTAACAACCAAAAATGTCTCAACACATTCCCAAAAGTCCCCTGGGGAAATAATATCACCCCTGGTTGAGAACCTTGTTTAAGGCAACAGTTCCCAGTGGTTTGTGCACTAACATGGTCACTGATAAAAAGTCACAGTCTGATTAAAAAAAAGAGAGAGAGAGGAAGAAAGAAAAAGGATCATGTATCAATTCACAAAGCTAAAATTATTTATAGGAATGTCCTTTATTCTGAGATTCTCCTTCCTACCTGTATAGTATTAACATGCTCTTTCTTTCATGAAATAATAGTTGATAGCTGAGAAAGGTTTTTTTCTGGTATGTTTATTAAATAAATACTATATTGTATTGCAATAGTTTGTTTACAGTTTGGTCTTAGACATTAGGCAGTAAGCTCCTCGATAGCAGAAATCATGCCCTCTTACATCCATGCCCTCATGATTATCATAAACATTTGCTGAAAGTAAGCTGAGATGAGGTAAGCGGTGTCCTTCTGTCCAGGACAAACATTTGTTGAAGGTAAGCTGGCACTAGAGGGTAGCAGATGTGGCACACCGAGGCACCCTTCTTTGTAGGCATGGAGGGTCACTGAAGGTTTCAAGCCGGACTGCTAACCTATACAGTGGTTTGTGTTGGACCTTACTCAATCTCTGCCTATTAAAGCTATTCTTTCTCTAAAGCCGTGCTCTTGAGCCATCGCCTCTGGGAAGTCCTTCCTGTTCTTTCTTTTCCCATAGTACTTTCCATATACTCTCTTGACATTAGTCACACAATAACTTGCTTTATAGTTATTTATGTATATGTCTACTTAGACTATTAAAATATGAACTCCCATTTACTGAGCATCTACTATGTTATGTAATGTCAGGCACAATACTTTCACTGAAGTTTCATGACAATCTTAAAAAGCAGGTATTACCTGCTTCTTCAGAAGTACGGAGTCTGAAACATAGTCAAAAAGTTTAGATAACTTAGTTGAAATCTCTGGGCAATAAGATACAGAATTGGTATTCAAAAACCCACACTTTCCATTTGCATCTGCTGTATGTTCATTAAGTATGTACTGAATGACAGTTTAGAAAGACAGACACAAAATAGAAGAATCAACTTTATATTAATTTTTACAAGTTCTCTTCCCTCTATATAGTGTTACTCTTCCAAATGTTTTTATTTATCACAATGTTCTATATAATAATTATTGTAAATCTGGTGCAGAAATGGCTTCCAAGGCCTTTATAAAACTGTATGCCATTTCTCAATTTATTAACTTCAAAAACACCTCTTCTGATCCTTAATGTAGAAAAATATGGATGTTTCTGAAGCCTGTCAAAAAGGAATTTTAAAACGTTTATTTGTTGGCATGACAAAAGTAGTAAAAACAGGAGTGTACTGCTTGTTATATTTATAATGTAAAGAACACCAAGTCAAATTCTTTCCTGAGGGAAATAACATCAGAAAGTCATGGCATCATATATATAATTTTATGAATAAGATCAATGTTTCTATGACTCTTCTGAGCAGACCTAGAGCTATTCTTATTCTGCAAAATCCTGAATATTCGAAAGAATGGTAAGAAAACCCATTGAACATTAGGTTACAAGCATTTATTAAAAAGTAATTTTACCTTGTCTTGCTGTATATTCATTGTCTTCAATTAACCGTGCTAAACCAAAATCTGCTATTTTGCACACAAGATTTTCTCCTACAAGAATATTAGCAGCTCGAAGATCTCGATGAATATAATTCATTCTTTCAATATATGCCATACCATCAGCAATCTTGGAAAGGAAAAGAAAAAAAAAGATGTATGACAGAAAGAGAGGGAGAGGGGGAGTGAGAAAAGGGAGAGCAGGAGAATAAACAAGAGATGCATGTGGCCCCCAAAACCTAAAGCATTCATCTGGGCCTTACAAAAAGGTGTGCTGACCCCTACTATCATGTCTAAGAGCCTTGAACACAGGACCCTGGACTAGGCTTAGCATATGCTAATGCCACACACAGTCAATTTCTTTGTATACTTTCTCTAAACTGTCAGATACTGTGGACATCTGGATGCTCACTGAGAAAGGAGTCTTATAACCAACATGTCCACTTGGGCCAATAAAGTCTTGAACACTCATCGCATAGCTGAATAGAAACTTTTCCCCCCACCAAAAATTTTTAATGTGTATTTATTTATTTTTGAGAGAGAGAAAGAGAGCAGGGGAGGGGCGGGAGTTGGGGGTGGGGAGAGAATCCCAAGCAGGCTCTGCGCTGTCAGTGCAGGGACCAATGCAGGGCTCAAACTCATGAACCGTGAGATCATGACCTGAGCTGAAATCAAGAGTCATGCTTAACCAACTGAGCCACCGAGGTGCCCCTGAATAGAAACTTCTAGTAGTTCTCACTCATTTTTAAAAAACTTCTAATAGTTCTCACTCATTTTTAAAAACAAAGACTCATGGGAATATAAGGCACAGCATAGAGAATATAGTCAATGCTGCTGTAATAGCATCCTAAGGTGACAGATGGCAGCTACCCTTGCGGTGAACACAGTATAAAGTACAGACTTTATTACTATGCTAAATACCTAAAACTAATGTAATATAGGGTTAACTTTAAAGAGAAAAAACTTTTTAAAATATATAAAATTGCTACCACATGGTAATAAAATTTAAAAATAAAATAAAAACAAAACTTCAGAAGAGTAAAACTATCCCATTTTAAAGTGAACACTGCCATCTTCATTCTTGTTTTTATATTATATAAAAAGTTCAGCACATCCTTTAGATTTCTAATATTTTCTTTGGAATAGCAATGACTCATCTTAAAATTTATCTGCTGAAATACAAATACATACAGATTTCATACTTGTAAATGCATATGTTTCTGAAAGGCCGTAAGACACAGGACAGCACTGTACTGAGAATTACATGCTTAGTTCTAATATTAGTAAGTTATATGCATGTTAGATACCACAGGCCTTCAGACACCATCTGTAACATAAATTAGACTACATTATCCCTAATGTTCCTTTCGACTCTAAAATTCCATGATTTCATTATATAAACAACAGTCTTCTACTAAGATTATATTGTTATGTACATTTTCAATTCAAATTGATACATGTACAGATAAACAAATACCTGAGCAGCCATATCAACCAGTTGTGGGAGCTTCAAATATTTTCCATCTCCTTCCTTCAGGAAATCCAATAAGCTCCCTGTAAGAGACAGAAAAATACTATGGAAAATAAATTTTAAATTAGGTCTGAAACAAATATTCCCCTATCTCCAAATACAAAACTTAAGCTTTTTATTCTTTAATATTTTTTGCAGCTTTGGATTTTCTGAATAATTATCTTTAATATTCTAGAAGAGCTCCCTAAACTGAAATTTTAAAACTTCTTGGAGAACATTTGGAAAATTTAATAATCTCACTAGATTGTAGGCATTTTCTTCCTTGTTTTGATCAAGATCAACAATCCCAATTTTGAAACAAAAAGCAGTATTTAGATACCTGTTTATGTATTTTTTAAAATATTTTGTTGATGTTTATGAGCACTGAGTGTTATGTGGAAACTAATTTGACAATAAACTATTTGTAAAAAAATAAAAAAATAAAATAAAATAAAAATATTTTGTTGATGTTTATTTATTTTTGAGAGAGAGACCAATGCACAAGTGGGGTAGGGGTAGAGAGAGAGGGAGACTCAGAATTCAGAGCAGGCTCCAGACTCTAACCCGTCAGCACAGGGAACACAGGGCTTGAAACCACGAACTATGAGATCATGACCAGAACTGAAGTCAGGCGCTTAACCGACTGAGTCACCTGGGTGCCCCTAGATTCCTGCATATTTTTAAGTCAATCTGAATCAAGAGTGCAGACTACTAGGAATATCCTGGGGTACTTAAAACCAGACCTAGGTGGCTGACTTGACATGGAACTGTTTGTCTAATGAACTCCTCTCACTTTTAGCTGAAGATAACATGAAAGAGCAAAGTACTACGAATAATAGCTGACAGAAAGGCTAGAAAAGTCTGGTTGCTATTCTTGTATTACTGGTTAAAAACCTACCATGTACCTGAATTTAATAATAAAAAAACCCAGATAAACCAAAATTAAGGTACATTTTTATTTATTTATTTTTTATGTTTTATTTATTTCTAGGAGAGAGAGAGAGAGAGAGAGAGACAGCGTGAGCAGGGGAGGGTCAGAGAGAGAGGGAGTCACAGACGGAAACAGGCTCCAGGCTCTGAGCTGGCAGTCAGCACAGAGCCCGATGCGGGGCCCAAACCCACGAACCGCGAGGTCATGACCTAAGCGAAAGTCGGACGCTTAACCGACTAAGCCACCCAGGCGCCCCTTTAAGGTACATTTTTAAAACAACTACAATGTTCTTTTCAAAAATAATAATGTATTGCAAGACAAGAAAGGCTAAGAGAAGGACTACTCTGGATTAAAGTCCCAAACATACATTCATCTGGCCTGGAGCTAGAGCATAGAGCCTGCTTAAAATTCTCTCTCCCTCTGCCTCTCCCCACTGCTCACACACCCTGGTGCTCTCTCTCAAATTGGGGGGGAGAGGAAGTAATCACTACAATTAATATGAAAAATGAAATTTGGCCAAAACTGCACAAAAAAAGACTAAGTTTAAGAGTTCCTGTAATAGTCTAGGAAAGAGAGATATCATGTTAAAATCTAGCAATGACAGTGGGAATAGAGAGAAGGGGAAGTTTTCCAGACAGATGTGATGGGATCAATGGCGCCGAATGGATTATTATTACACAGGGGGGTGAGGAAGTGATGACTGCTGAGCCCCATCCCCTGAGTGTTCATCTCTGAGCTTCCAGGTGACACTAATGTAGCTGCCATCCAACGCACCAGAGACTCTTACATATGGGCAAGAAGAGGCGAGCACAAGGACATTCACTGCAGCACTGTTTGTCACAGTGACAAACTAGAAACCAACCTAAATGTTCACTAGGAAAGGAATGAATAAACAAAGGTATCCTTGTACAGAATGCCATTCAACACTCACAAGTATACAAATTAGATCTTCCCTTATCCACATGAATAAATCTCAAGAGCATTAACACTGAATGAAAATGAAGCTAGTTATATTTACATAAGTTAATAGGTAAATTTATATCAATGAAAGTATATCAATATGAGACGCAGATGGAAAAGTTAAGCACCAACTTCAAAACTGAGGTTACCTCTGGAAGGGAAATGGGCCCAAAGAAGCCTGGAGGGAGGGCTCAAACAAGAATGGGCTCAAGAAGGAGTGAAAACAAAGATGCAATTAGATCTGTAATGTTTTGTTTCCTTAGTAGAAAGATCTGAAGCAAATATGGCAAAGTGTAAACATTAGTTATATTTGGATGGTAAGGACATGGTTGTTATGGTAGTCTCTGTATGTCTGAAATATCTGCAATTTAAAAAAAGTCTACGAAAAGTGTTGACATTAAATAAACTTAAATAGGTTTTAAAAAGAGTACATGGCTGGTTATGAAGTGAAGACAGAGTATTCTTAAAACAAATCTTGCCTGCGAAGAGAAGCAAAAAAGTAAACCAGTAGGTGAAAAGCAGATGTTGAGACCAAGAGAGAGTTTTCTTTTTAGATAATAAGAAGGATCAAAAACACAGTTAAAGAAATTTTCCTTAAACAGAGGAAGGAACACTTCTTTTCCTTAGCCAATAAGATAGACAACAGGGGCAGCTGGGTGGTTCAGTCAGTTAAGCATCAGACTTCAGCTCAGGTCATAATCTGACGGTTGCTGAGTTCAAGCCCTGTGTCAGGGTCTATGCTGACAGCTCAGAGCCTGGAGCCTGCTTCAGATTCTGTGTCTCCCTCTCTCTCTGCCCCTCCCCCACTCCCACTTTGTCTTTACCTCTCAAAAATAAACATTAAAAAAAAAAAGGATAAACTGACATCATATAAATACGCCACATGACAATGCAGAGTATACAGAAAAACAGAAGATAAGTTCTTTGTTTCAGGATAAAGAATCTAAGTAAGATGCCATGATCAATACATCAAGTAGAACATTTTTCAGTGTAATAAGAGATAACTGCTAAAATCACACAAACTGCAGTGCACAGAAATGAACTGTAATCGGTGTCATTTGGTCAATTCCTTTTCTCTGACATCATAGAATATTTTGGATCTTATCAGTGGTCCTTAACTCTTTTTATATTCATGGCTTGCTTTAAACTGACAAAAATGATGGACTCTTTTCCTAGGAAAACATAAATAAATATACAAAAGTTTGACACATAACTTCAGGGGAAGTTCATGGACCCTCTGAAGCTCATTCAAGATCCCAGCAGAGCAAGTACTCACCAAATAATTGTGTAATCAATTCAAAGGAGTCCTTATATTTGCCTTACATACCTCTTCACCCTTATTTCCAACTAGCTGCCTTCTGTACTCTCCACTTCCCATGTTTTTGTTACCCATTTCTTCATATCTTAGCTCTGCAGAAATGCCCATACCTTTCCCTTTACCCATCCACAGCCTTCATAACCTGAAAGGGCAATTTAACACTTGTCTTTTTCACTAATACTTCTCAGTTTATTCCAGCCTATGTGATCTCTTTTTCATTTCTATACTTACTGAATGTGTTAAACACATGGAAATTCATTATGTTTTGGCCTATAGCTTGTTTGTTTATAGCGAGCTATTATTTACTTTTATACTGAGTATTAACTTTTCAGAAGGATAGGTCTTTTCTCTCTAAATTCAACATAAGTTATTTGGGTGGCTTTATTTGTTTGATATCTTAAAATGACTAACAGAGTGTCCTGTGTATTTGAAGTATTCAATACATTTTGATTGTTAATGATTTACAGAGTCTGAATACAAACATTTCATAGGATATAATGATCATGACAGATATGGATATTAATGGAAGACTTCTAACACTTGACCTAAGGTAACCTGAAGGAAGTATGGTTGATGGGACTGGCTGAGAGACAGGGAAACCAAATTCCAGATGAAGGAATTTGAACAGAATCATGGAAACAAAAGGCAATGTGGATTTATGTGGCAGCACATGAGGCAATGAGTCTGAATAGATTCCAGAGGATCAACTGCTAAGTACCTGAAACAAGATGGGGAATTACGGAGTTTTAAAACCAGAAAGGTCATTTGTGATCTTGCATTCTAAATCTCCCATCTGGAAATAATCCTAACAGATATCGATCATGTACCCCCAGTTAAATAATTCTTGAAATCAATATAAAAAGCTAAATGGACCATTAACTTTACCTCCATTACATTCTTATGCTATCAATATCTTGATTTAAACTTCCTCCTTGTCCCTTTTCTCTCTTCCTTATACAGTGCATCCAATGCACTCTGAAAGGGGTTATTTGGCAGTTATTTGCAGTAGAGATTCTTTCCAAAAAGTGCCATGCGCCTTGGGGTATTAGGTAAGTTTTGGCTATCAATTAGTAGGTTACGTCAGTTCTTAACTTTTGGTTTTTCTAATCCTTTGGGAGGTGGGGATTAGATTTCCTATAGCAAATATGCAGCTTATAGTTGGCCCTGTCACCACTAGATGGAACTACATTATTGGCCAAGATGGACTACTGGAGAGAGATGACATAATCAGTAGCTTTAATTACGGATGAGTGACTCATTAAGAGTTAGGGGGGAAAGAAAAGATAAAATTCAAGAGGGTAAAAGTGGAACTCGCAACATATTTAGCACTTACTAGTTCCTCTTTTTTTTTTTTTTTTAATGTTTTTTATTTATTTCTAGGAGAGAGAGAGAGACAGCATGAGCAGGGGAGGGTTAGAGAGAGAGGGAGTCACAGACTCTTAAACAGCCTCCAGGCTCTGAGCTGGCAGTCAGCACAGAGTCCGACGCGGGGCTCGAACCCACGAACCGTGAGATCATGACCTAAGTGAAAGTCGGACGCTTAACTGACTAAGCCACCCAGGCGCCCCTTACTAGCTCCTCTTCTAAAGCATCATCTGTACCTTCTCTTTATCTTGGCCCCAAACAACCCTGTTTGTTATTAAAGATCCCACCTTAGGGTCTAGAGTTTGGGAGAATGGAGAAATTTTAGTGAATAATAGTGGGAAAAAGTTTCTAGGAATCCTGAATATAGAGACTGTGTTTATACTAAAATAAGATAAAATTAATTTCCTTAATTTTACTTGATTTCTTTGCTTTAGGACAAAAGATATAAATATCTTCTAACTGTATTATTTTCATTTGTAGAAATTTTTGTTTTCTTTTTTCCTTTTCCAGCTACTCCATTTCCTTTCGTTAAATGGAATAAAAGACTACTTACTTTCAACATAAATTGGGCTGGCATAATTTTCCTTTTAAACTCTGTACTATCCTTTGGAATAACTGCAACTAATCACTATTCCATTAAACAAAATGTTAGATTTTCTCTTTTCAATTGTCTACATAAAACTCAAAGAGAACACTACACATTAAAAATCTGCATGCATAAAAAGAGAAATGAAGGGGCGCCTGGGTGGCTCAGTCCGTTAGGCATCCAACTTCAGCTCAGGTCATGATGTCACGGTTCGTGGGTTCAAGGCCCGCATCGGGCTCTGTGCTGACAGCTAGCTCAGAGCCTGGAGGCTGTTTCAGATTCTGTATCTCCCTCTCTCTCTGGCCTGCCCCTGCTCACACTGTCTCTCTCTCTCTCTCTCTCTCTCTCAGAAATAAATAAAAAACGTTTTTAAAAAAACAAAAAACAGAAATGAAGACTTGTTTTTTATACAAATACCCTAAAAATAAACTAATATACACATACCTTTTGACATGAATTCAGTGACAATGTAAATTGGCTCTTCAGAAACAACAGCATACAGTGGAACAAGTTTATCATGTCTTAACTTTTTCATTATCTGAGCTTCTTGAAGAAAAGCTTCTGGCATCATTGTACCCGGTTTTAGTGTTTTGATCGCTACTTTTGTGGTTCCATTCCATGTTCCTAGAGAAACACATTTTACTAATTTAATCTATGTATATGAGATTTTAAGCCAAATCTAAGGTAACTGCACTGATCAGTTACCTTAAATATTTCACTATATCTTAAGTTGTGGTGTTTTACTTTATGGCTAAACAAATGACAAAAAACAAAAGTTCAGGTTTCTTACCCATCCATACTTCACCAAAACATCCTTGTCCTAATTTAACCTCTAGTCGCAAAGATTCTCGAGGGATTTCCCAAGCATCTTTTGCTAGACCTTGAGTCTGAGGTTTCACAGTTGGACACACGGTTGTTAACTTATGGCATAAACCATCAGCATGTTCTAGATAAATGAATAAACTACACTGTAAAATGAATTACTTACAAAAATTAAGGTACATATAGTGTATCAAATGTTTTTAAAAGTTTAAATTGAAGAAAACAAAAACATAATGTCCTATCAGTCTTACTGTAAAAGCACAGACACAAAAAAAAGGGAGCTGTATGTATATAAGAAACAAAACATACAAAAAGTGGAACATTTTTTGTTAAATATCTTTTTAAGGTTATAATTTATTGAATATTTACTATGTCTCAGTGGTTGTGTTAATTCAGTACTTTACAAATATCTCTCATAAATAAGTCTTGAAAAACTTAAGTGATTTTAACGTCACCCGGTTACTAAGTGATGGAGATGGGATTCAAACCCCAGTTCTGGGTGCCTCCAAAGTTATGTTTTTGACCACTGTGCTTTACTTCTTCCCCAAGAGAATGCTACCATTAACTGTTAAACAGGGAATCACAAATTCACAATGGCTTGACTTGTGAATCATGCTTATGCAATCTTCTTTATTGTAAATAAGACATGTTCCCTCTCATTTTCAACAAATAACCACACAAATCCACATTCTAACCAGTGCAATTATAACTGATGCCACTGCTTGGTAACATGTTTATTCAATGTCAAGACTGGTGGTTGACTTAATAGACTATTTGAAGCTAGCTGTCACTGAAGAAGAGATTGCCATGGGAACTTCCCCTCCCCTAGTTTTAATAATTTAAAAACTTTCAGATGCATTCACATATTAAATCAGCAATGCAAAATTTTGAGAAAGAAGAATCTAATACCGAATACCTTTCAAAGGTCCTTAAAAACAAAAACAATGTCTACAGTTGCTATAGGTTAGTTTTCCAGGAAAAGAAGAATTCATCTTCAGAATTAAATTTCAATAGATTTATACCTTAGGAAGTTTTATGTGGTCCGGCCCATACAGAGGAATGTAACGCAAAAGGACATCTGATAAAGCTTTTTAAGTATTTACCTACTTAATAAATTTTACCTACTTAATAAATGTCCCTTAAAAAATTTGCCTTTATGCTTTTTTATTTATTGTCACAATCTATCTTGGTTTTTAACCTGCTATGAAATGAAACCCCAATGTAAACATTATGCCAGTTAGATATAAGGACTCAAATAATGGTAGTTGAATTTTACCACATCATCTAAGAACTTAATTCAGGTAATAAGTATTACCTGTTCCTCATTTTCAAACCACAATACAACATCTATAGAACACACCCTGTGTGTAAAGTACTGAGCTAAACCTTCAGAGACATGAAAACAGAGATTCTGTACTCATAAAATATAACATCAAGAAAAAATTTTCATGTGTGAAATTCACATACCTGTGTAGTGTTTTACCAACTTCTGCAGAGTATCAAATTGTGCTCTGGTTGTGATATAATATCCACCGTTGTCAAGTTTCCTAATTTTGTAGTGTTTCACATTGTCACCTCTTACCTCATCCCAATCACGAATAGAGAGAGAATAAGCACCTAAGGAGGGAAACAAATACTCTTCATATATCTTTCTCAAAATACTGTCCAAGAAAATGTTTATACTTACACTACATTATAATTACCTTTAGTAGTTTCACTCTCTCGTACTAAGAAAATACCTCGTTGATTCCCAGGATTCAGAAGTAATCTTTCAGCATCTTTTCTCCCCATTTTGCCAAAATACCATCTGGGAAAAAAACAGTGTTCTGAGTTAGAAATGTGTTAGAATTGGAAGATTATACATAAGTTACGTAAGTATCAGTAAGAATTGAATTGGCGGGGGGAGGGGGGTGATAACAAAGAACTACAGAAGACAGATTAAAAACAGTAAAATATAATGAAGGATCTTTAACTAAATAGAAATATTATAAATATTCCTGTCAGAACATACTGTCCTAATATTTCCAGGTACTGACTATTCAACCAATCTCTTAAACTTCACTCGGAAGTCACAGGATCAGAGAAAGAAAGTCAATAATGACACAGAGAACCTCTCAGACACTGACAGAAGGGAACATGAATATGAAGAGTGAAGTAGAAAGAACAGACATGGTTCTCTGTATTCTGGTCATCTGCATTCAATAAAATGCAAGTAAACTATATCCAAATTATTAGCAACTCTAGTGTGAGTTTGATTTAATACTGATTTGTGAATAAAAATGAGTCTCTGCTGTGGAGAAGCGCACAGAATAAAACATGAAGTAACAAGTGTCAAGCAGAACAGAGTTATATAGAGACAAATTACATACTGTAAAAGCAATAAAAACAAACAGTGATAGAGCACCTACTATTTAACCTACTGTGTTAAATGTCGGGTTATGAAAACAAAGTAATATTAAGAATCCCAGATATTCTTGGTTTGACCTAAAAATATGTCACTGAAGATTAATTTTAATTTTTTAGAAGTTGTGAGAATACCACATAGAACTCTCATATACTCCCTACCCAGATTTCCCAACTGTTAAAATTTTACTTTGTCATATTCTCTCTTACCCTGTGTATTTTTTCTGAACTGATGGCAAGCACCTAAGTCAAGAAATTAACACTGATACAATACTATCAACTGAGGGTAAATTTTGAAGTGAGAGAGTTTACAGAATATAAAAAGAGCTAATATGATCTTTTTAAAGAGAAGATATAAAGGGTACAGACTAGGCATAACAGTATTATTAATGCAGATTCATTTATGATCCTACTGTAAGCAAATACTAGGGCATTAATTATTGATTTCAAGTAACATCTCCTATTAATATGATGTATTAGCTGTATTAAGGCTGGTATGTAATTGTATGTGTGTAAAATTGTGGCTAAGTAGAATGTGCATTAAAACATTTTCTAAAATCAAAATAATTAATAAAATATGAAGTAGTGCCATACTCTTCTGCCTGAATGGAATCTGCAGGGGCTACATAATTGCTAGGGATATAGCCGTTCTTTCCTGTAGCAATTGATCGGGCTTCCCACCAGTCTCCTTCCCTGTAACACATAAAACAACAATTACCGCAAGGTAGACAACTGCTCAAGAAAAAATTTATTACAGTGTTGCCTTATATCTATGTAGAAAAGAGGTATTACTTCATTTTTTATGCATTCATTTGATCAAGAATTAAACTCAAAAGAAGAATACTTAAAAACAGGTTATGTGAATTAAAGGAATAAGGCTAAGCAAAAGCACAACTGCATATTTCTCTCCAAAGTTAATTTTAGTTGTAAGATCCCCTTTTTACATAATTCTTTCAACCTAAAACAATAAACTATATTGTCTAAAACAATTTGGGAGGTAAATTTTTCAAATTACTCATTTTCAACTGAATGTTTTCTTTTTGAAAAGCTTTATTGACATATAATTTACAGACCAAAAATTCTCTCTTTAAGATGTAATGGGTTTTAATATATTCAGAGTTGTGCAACCATTATCACAATCAATTTTATAACACTTCACACACACACACACACACACACACACACACACACACACACCACTCTTCCAACAACAGTCACTCCCCACTCCTCCACCTGTGGCCTCCCCCCACACTGCCAAACACTAAATCTGCTTTCTGTTCCTATGGACATTTATATTATGGGCATTTCATATAAATAGAATCATACAACATGTGGTGTGGTCTTTCAGACTGGCGTTTTTCACTTAGCATAATTTTTTCAAGGTTCATCTATGTTACAGCATGTTATCAGTAGTTCATTCTTTTTTATTGTCAAATACTTTCAACAGTACATAAAGTCAGAATGTTCCTTTTTAGTCATTTTAGGGGGAAAAGTCAGGATGCCTTAGAATTCCTGTAGACAAACTATTTGCAACAGGCAAGAGTAAAAAATTTAACCCCAAGAATAAAGTATATATATACTTTAATAATAAAAAGTGTTATAAATAAAATGTTATTAAAAATGTTATAAAATAAAAATAAATAAAAATGTTATCCATAAATATCCAAGTAAAACTAAAGTCAATTCAGAACATGAGAATTATACTTAGCTTGCAATACATAAGCCATGACTTTTCCAAAATTAAAAGCGAATATTATCAGTCTCTAATGAGGAAGATATATATGGGTTCTGCCACTAAAAATTAAATGCATGCTTTGCTTTGCCAGAGAGAAATATTGAAAATATTTTATCTAAATTGAAATTTTATGAATGACCGAGGAGAATTTGTTCTCTAGAAAATGAGATGAAAAATCCTTTGGTAATTCAAGGATTTACCAAACTCATAAACTTGGTTTGTAGTTTCCTAGTATGTATTAGGCACTTTCAGATATACCAATTGAAAAGTCTGCATTTGTACTAACCACTCATGATTCATTCAAACATTTATTGAATACCCTTTTAAGTGACAGACTTTATGAGAGGGTATGCTGGAAACAGGTAAAAAGATAGTCTGTACCCTCAAGAAACTCAGCCTAGAGCAGAGTTTCTCAACCTTGGCACTACTGACTCTTTGTGCTGGATAATTCTTTGTTGTTGATGTTGTTCTGTGCATTGTAGGATGTTCAGCAACACCCCTGGCCTCTACTCACTAGAAGATAGTAGAGGCACCCTGACTGTATACTGGTGTCTCCAGATATTGCCAAATGTCCCTGGACAATTTTTCCCCAAGTTGAGAACCACTGGTCTAAAAGAATGAAAAGCACATGATACATTATAATTCAAAGTAGTGATGACAGCTATGATTGAGGTTTGCAGACGGTGCCACCTCAACCAGTAAGGGAGACACTGAATCCAGCAGGAGAAGGGGTGTGGGCCAGTGGGAGAGGAATAATGTCAAGAAAGGCCTCCTTGAGAAATGATATAGGAATATACATTTTGAAGAATGAGCAGGGTTGGCCAGATAAAAGGAAAAAAATGGAGACAGGAAGTCACATTCCAGAAAAAAGAAACTATGTGTGAAGGCATAGAAAGGTGAGGAAACGCCTGGGTGGCTCAGCTGGTTAAGCATCCCACTCTTGATTTCTACTCAGGTCATGATCTCGTGGTTCATGAGATTGAGCCCCACATGGGGCTCTGTGGTGACAATATGGAGTCTGCTTGGGATTCTCTCTCTACCCCTCCCCTCCCTCCCTCACAATAAATAAGCTTTAAAAAAAAAAAAAAAGGAAGGTAAGAAGCCCTAGTGTATTCATACAATTATAAGCAATTTACTATGGCTGAGCAGTCAAGTGAGGAAGGGGAAACAGCTCGATGACTGATTTCTATCACTTTTATCTTGACAGCAACTGGCAGCTACTATAGGATTTTAAAGCAGAGACACGATCATATTTTATATTCTGGAACAATAATGGATAGAAAATGGAAACAAGAAGATTTGGAAATATGACTGGAAGTAAAGAGACCATAATATATGTATTTTGAGAAGTTATGAGCTGGTTGCTATGCCTGCTAATGAAATTATGGGACCTATTTTCCATAATAAGCACTGAATTTTCTTGTTTTAAATTTTATTTTCTTTCTATTTGAAAGAGAGGGAGAGGGAGAGCACAAGTTGGGGAGAAGGGTGGGGAGGCGGGGGGAGACCAATTGAACAACCCAAGTGCCCGCCAAGAACTGAATTTTCAATGCAAGCATCAAATTACTAGTGAGACACTAAAAGTCTAGGAGTCACTTAAGAAAAAAGCAACTTAACGTGGCCAGTTTGGGATATTATTCCTACCTGGGCTTTTTCCTTTGTTTTTGTTTTTGTTTTGTTTTGTTTTGTTTTTAAGAGAAAGAAGTTAAGATCCTTAAATCATCTTATACTTAAACAGGAACACAGAAATCTATAAGGATTTTTTTTTTAAGTAATGTACTTAAGTAATGTACTCTTTAATCTCTACTGTTTATGTCAGAACCACACACTGCAGTGCAATTTGTAGAAGTAATAACTTCTGGCTACAGCAGTAGTTATTATGCCATGTGTCTGAAGAAACTAAATGCATCATCCAACCCAGTGGGCAGAGACCCATGCCTCACCACTCTCATGTCTCAATCAACCAGTTAAGTGGTTTCAGCATGAAGACTAGGTTTCTGTCACTGTTTCTCCCTCACAAAACATTCCCAACACTTACGAGTTGTTAATTATTTGAAACCGTTCACCCTTCTTGAATGAAAGGTCTTCTGTAGTTCTAGCTTCATAATCATATAAGGCCACAAATACAGTAACACCACCTATTGGAGCGAAAAAAAAAAAAAAAAAAAAAAAAAGACCAAGGTAAATTATATAAAGTAAAATAGAGAAAAAAAAATTGTCAACTAAAAGCTAAGCATGGTTTTCTTCTTAGTCTCCAGAATGTTTTTAAACGGAGACTTGGGCAGCAGGAGCTTAGTTAGTAAGATGCTCTCTTAAAACTTTCCATGAAATTTTTGTAAGCTACAAATTCTAAAATTCTATATACCTACAGAAACAAATTTAATTCTGATTCACAGTTGCAACGTCTCTGACTTGGAAAGACAAAGTTCAAATCAATTCTTTGCCAAAAAAAGCATTAGTACTGCAAACTACAGGCACTGATCATCTCAATTTCTTATAAACAATGGATGAACATTTCCATCTGTAAGACTGATCCTTCATAGTAATAGCTAGGGATTTAATAAGATCAGCTATTAAAATGAACACTTAAAAGTTAAAATGGCTGTTTTTCTTAGAAATTAAGTGATGTGGCTGATATGAATTATAAATTCCAAAAATAACTGTCATACAGAGCACTGTACACATATGCTTAAGAGACCAGGACACTAAACAACTAAACTATTATCTGCAAACAAAAGAATAGAATGGATTGATTCACTCTTCTCCACTGAGCTCCAGTCACGTATTAACTGCCTATCTGACATGTCTACTTGAATGCCTAAGCCAATGGCACTACTATCTGATCAGGTGCTCAAGCCAAGTCCCTTTACCAGCACTGTTAGCTCTACCTCTAAAATACCTCTTATTTACTTTCTTTTCCATTTCCACTGCTGCCACCTTAATCCAAATCATTGTTATCTCTCACTGAGTGGTAGAAAGAGTGGTGAAAGAAGTAACCTCCTAATCCACTTCTGTACCTGGTTCCTTATATACATTCTCCACACACCTACTTGCCAGAGTGGTTTTAAAAAAAGGAAACTCAATTATGCAAATCCTCTAAATTTCTTCAATTGCTTTTTCTTGGCTTTGAATAAAGCCCAAACTTCTTACTAGAGTCTTCAAGGTCCTGAGTAATCCTAACTCTTCAATCTTATATTAATCAATTCAACCTTCTGTTGTCCTCATTAGTGCTCAAACTGCCAGGTTCATCTGTACCTCCTAAACTTTGCATTTGTTGTTCTCTCTCCCCAGAAAGCTCTTTTTCCAGCTCTGCACATATTTATGTCATTCTCATCAATCAAAACTCAGTTCAAATAATTTCTCAAGATTGCTTTCTTTGATCAGCTAAAGGGCTTTCATCTTTATTAAATGGACCTAAGTAAACTGCTTAGGTAACTAAACTACATCCTTAAGGATCAACATTTACTTGAACCATTCTGGACTACTGTCTTTCCCAAACGTATAATCCTGAAAATAACTTAAACTTTTGATGATAACTGAGAATGCCATCATGGCGATCTGTTACTAAGGTATTGAGAGTTAGGGAGTTGGAAATTAAACTGTAATTGACCCTTTAATGTCTACAACTCCTCAAATGAACAGTCTCATAGAATTCACTTATGGCATTCCTCTAGCACTATTATTGGCCTAAAGGTAAGAAGATTGAAGGGACAAATCTCTTCTGATAGAAGAGATTCCACTTTTGCCCCCTCTGGTTGTTAAGTAAGGACACATGACGCTGCTCAATTTGCTGCTGGCAGCTGTTTTGCCAAGCCTAAGGTTAAAGCAGAAACTCTTAAGTGCTACCGGAAAGAGATCAAGGACTCGAGTCCTTGATGACATCACAAAACTACTGCTATATCAAGGAATTCTAGAGCTCACTCTACTTTTTTTTAAAACCAGTTATGTTTTGTTACTCAAGGGAAAAAGTATCCTGATGTGGAAATCTTCCACAAAAGAAATCTTTTTAAAGTTTCTAACTACTTTTTTAGAGCATTTCTGGCTCCATGAAAGGCTGTCAGCTGTCACTTCTTGCTGCTCTCTGAAAGGATATCATAAAGTAATAAATGGGGGCGCCTGGGTGGCTCAGTCAGTTAAACGTCCAACTTCGGCTCAGGTCATGATCTCACGGTTCGTGGGTTCCAGCCCCATGTTGGGCTCTGTGCTGACAGGTAGCTTAAACCCTGAAGCCTGCTTCCAATTCTGTGTCTCCCTCTCTCTCTGACCCTCCCCCGCTCACATTCTGTTTCTCTAAGATAAATAAAACATTACAAAAAAATTTTTTTAAGTAATAAATGAAGTTCTGGAACAAGACATTAAACCTTGTCTCTGTTGCTTATTTGTGTTTCTGGAAAAAAAAATCACTTAACTCTGAGTCTCAGGACTTTTCTTTTTAAAATTAATCAGTATCTGACACCAAAAAACCCAACCATACCATCATCACTACGTTGCCATTTAATATTAAGTAACCATTACGATACTTTAATATTAGATAGTACATTATAAACCTGAAAATGTATAATATTCTTGAGGGAGGGGTTCATGTTTTTAATCTTTATAACCCCACTACCTGCCACACAGTGGGCACTTAATAATTACTTGAAAAATGAAAAATGAAAAACCTAATGATATAGCCAGTCGATAATCACCAAGTTTTCCAGAACAATGTCAATGTATATAATAAGACTTAAATTTCTATGCTAGAAGCGTTAATTTTCACATAAACTAATAAGTCCCCCAGGAAGTTATTTTTCTTACAGCAGTTATTCTTCTTTGAAGGTACTGCCTAAGGTCATGTTCCCAAACTGACAACAGAATTGTCCATTTAAGTCTCACCTGTTAAACCAGCAGGATATGAACTTGGCACCACTGCGAATGAAGAAGATGCTCCTCCAAAAGGTGTCACTCCTGAGGATCCTCCAAATGGTGTCATGGAAAGACTGTTAAAATTAACAGATGCTCCCTTTGTTGAAGACGATGGTGCCACTGCAGTGTGTTCTGCTCCATAATGGCTGACACTTGCACTGACAGGTTCTGGAGTGCTTTCAGTTCTATATTTAATGGTTGGACTTTTGTTCTCTTTACTTTTAATGCAGCCCATTATCAAATCTACAAAGGTGGTAAGGCAAACATTTTGAGAAGTGGTTAGTATAAAGGATACTTCAAAAAAACTCAATTCAAAACTTCATTTTAAACACGGAATTGTTCTCCCACGAAAAAAGTAACATTAACAAAATAAAACAAAAAACTAGAAAGCTAAAACTGAAGTTTCTTCTCCTCATTTAACTTTATTACAAGTCTGCTGAAGCATCATTCCAATCATGTCATTGTCAAGCTCAACCACCTTTAATGCTCCAATGACAACATGTCATAGTGTGCTGGGAAAGCCACTGGCTGTGAAGTCAGAGGTGCTACATTTGAATCCTGGTTTACTACCTACTAGTGGAGTTATTTCAGGTATGTTGCCCAACCTCCCTGCACCTTACAGCTACTTGAAAAAGAGGGATAATAATAACACCACTTCATAAGGTTTTCTATGAGGATTAATTTATGCTTATTACAAGTTCCAGGCAATATGTGGCACATAGTTAAGTACCAGCATATACCGGCTTTATTCCTTCTATCTATAAAAGCCCTCTGTAACAGAAATACAATCTGAGCCACATAAATAATATTCAATCTTCTAGCAGCCATGTTAAAAAATATAAAAAGAAGGGGCGCCCGTGTGGCTCAGTCAGTTAAGCAGTTGACTCCATTTCAACTCCGGTCATGATCTCACAGTTCCTGCGTGGGATTCTCATTCTCTCTCTCTCTCTCTCTCTCTCTCTCAGCCTCTTCTCACTCACACATGAGCACATGCATGCATGCTCTCTCCCCCAAAATAAACAAATTGGGAGAAATACATTTTTAAATAAAAATTAAAACATTGATTTTAATGATATCTTTAATCTACTGAATCTAAAATACATTTCAACATTAGCATCAATAAAAAATTTTTAATGAGATTTTACATTCTTTTTTTTGTACGAAGTCTCAGAAACCTGTTATATATTTTAAACTTACAGCACATGTCAATTTGGACTAGGTACATTTCAAGTGCTCAGGGTCTATTATGTGGCTAGCAGCCACCATGTATAGAACAGGGTAGCTCTGTAACTTTTCTCTTCCTTATCTATAGTCACACTCCTAATGCTTACCAAAACCGATCCCAATCTATTTTTCCAACTCTATCTCCTAGTATTTCCTTATGCTTATCTACATACACACACTTTCCTGTTTCCCCAGTACAAATGCCCTGTACTTTCCCAATTTTGGGGGGATTTTTACACCTAAAACTTCTCTACCTGCTAAAGTTCTATCCATTCACTGAAGGTCATCACAAATGCTATTTTTCCATTCAGGCTTTCCCCATAATTGGCAAAATATTGTTTTCCTTAAAACCTCCAATGTACTTTTGGGGAGATTTTTTTTTTAATGTTTTTATTTCTTTCTGAGAGAGAGAGAGACAGACAGACAGACAGCGCGATCAGGGTAGGTTCAGAGAGAGAGGGAGATACAGAATCTGAAACAGGCTCCAGGCTCTGAGCTAGCTGTCAGCACAGAATCCAATGCGGGGCTCAAATCCATGAACTGTGAGATCATGACCTGAGCAGAAGTCGGATGCTTAACCAACTTAATCTCCCCAGGCGCCCCTTGGAGAGATTTTTATATGGGACTCTCACCTTAATTCCATTTTGTATCTTGTTTTTTGCTTACTGGCGTAATTCCCACCTTAACCCCTAATTACTGGTAATACATTTTTTATTTATTTTTATTTTTTAAATTACTCATTTTTAATAAATAAAACATGCATTGCCAATATCAGAATAATATTTCTAAGACTACCACAAAAACATTCCTATTTTTTTTTTTTTTACAAATAGTTTGTCAAACTGGTTTCCATATAACACCCAGTGCTCATCCCAACAAGTGCCCTCCTCCATGCCCATCACCTCCCTTCTCCCTCTCCCCCACCCTCATCAACCCTCAGTTTGTTCTCAGCATTCAAGAGTCTCTCATGTTTTGCCTCCCTCCCTCTCCCCCACTATTTTTCCCCTTCTTCTCCCCCACGGCCTTCCGTTAAGTTCCTCCTAATTCTCCTATAGGAGGACATATATGTCCTCCTATATGAGGACTCCACATGCAAACATATGGTAGCTGTCCTTCTCTGCCTGACTTATTTCGCTCAGCATAACACCCTCAAGTTCCATCCATGTGGCTACACATGGCCAGATTTCATTCTTTCTCATTGTCATGTAGTATTCCATTGTATAGATAAATCACATCTTCTTGATCTATTCGTCAGTTGATGGACACTTAGGCTCTTTCCATGTTTTGGCTAGGCAAGACATTTTTAAAAATCAAATTACTCATCTCTTACACACTGTCCAGCTTACAAACATGACTCATATAATAGGTTACTAATACTACAAATCTGCATTTTTCAATTCACTTCCTATGGGAGTACTAATGGGGATTTCATTAATTCACATATTTTTAAGGGTCATTCTTATTTTACAGCTTTTCCTTTCTTACATGGCATTCAAAAGGTGAGTGATAAGATGACTGTCTCATAAATTCATAAAGACTGAATATTTATAATCTTGGCTATATAACAAAATGTAGCTATACTGCAGTAATCAGACAAGAAATAAAGGGCATCCAAATTGGTAAGGAAGAAGTAAAATTGTCACTATCTGCAGATGACATGATACGATATATAGAAAACCCTAAAGACTCCACCAAAAAACTATTAGAACTGATGAATGAATTCAGTAAAGTTTCAGGATACAAAATAATAAACAGAAATCTGTTGTATTTCTGCCCACTAACAATGAACTAGAAGAGAAATTAAGAGAACCATCCCATTTACAATTACACATTAAAAAAAGCTAGAAATGAATTTAACCAAAGAGGTAAAAGACTTGTACACTGAAAACTATAAAACAGTGATGAAAGAAATTGAAGGCAACACAAATGGAAAGGTATACCATGCTCATGGACTGGATAAATTAATATTGTTAAAATGTTTGTAACACAAAAACAATCTACAGATTCAATGCAATCTCTATCAAAATACCAACAGCATTTCCAACAGAATTAGAACAAGTAATCCTAGTAATTTTAAAGAACCACACAAGACATGAATAGGATAAGCAAACTTGAGAAAAAGAACAAAACTGAGGTTTCATAATCATAGATTTCAAGATATACTACAGAGTTATAGTAATCAATCAAAACAATATGGTACTGGCATAAAAACAGACCCCACAGGTCACTGGAATAGAGAGCCCAGAAGTAAACCTATGCTTAGATTATCTATTAGTCTATGACAGAGGAAAGACTATAAAATTCAGAAAAGGCAGTCTTTTCAATAAATGGTGTTGGAAAAACTGGATGATTACATGCAAAAGAATGAAAGTGAACCACTTTCTTATACTATACACAAAAATACACTCAAAGTGGAAAAAAAAAACAAACCTCAAAATGGATTAAAAATGTAAATGTGAGACCTGAAATCATAAAACTCCTAGAAGAAAAACAAAATGTAAGTAGTTATCGTTTTGACATCAGCCTTAGCAACATATTTTTGGATATATCTCATCAGACAAGGGAAACAAAAACAAAAATAAACAATTGTGACTATGCTAAAATAGAAAGTTTTTGCACAGCAAAGGACACCATCAACAAAACAAAAAAGCAACTCAGTATATGGCAGAAGATATTTGCAGGTGATATGTTTATTAAGAGGTTATATATATAAAGAATTTATACAACTCAACACCAAAAAACCATATAATCTGATTGACAAATGGGCAGAAGAATTGAACATTTTTCCAAAGAAGACACACATAAAAAGACAAAAGACACATGAAAAGATGCTCAACCCCATTAGTCATCAGAGAAATGCAAATCAAAACCACAATGAGATATTGCCTCCTACCAGAATGGTTAATATCAAAAAGAAGTAACAAGTGCTGGCAAGGATGTGGATAAAAGGGAACATTCATGTGCTGTTGGTGGTAATTCTTCAAAAAATCAAACATTGAAATATCAAATGATCCAGCAATTCCACTATGCACCCCTATGTTACTGCAATACTATTTACAAAAGCCAACACATAGAAGCAACCCAAGTGTCTATCCATAGATGAATGGATAAAGAAGATGGGGAGATGTGTGTAAATAATGGGAATATTATTAAGCTATTGGGAAAAAAAAAAAAAAAAAGAGGGACGCCTAGGTGGTTCAGTCTGTTGGGCTTCCGAACTCGGCTCAGGTCATGATCTCACAGTTTGTGGGTTCGAGCTCCACGTCAGGCTCTGTGCTGACAGCTAGCTCAGAGCCTGAAGCCTTGCTTCAGATTCTGTGTCTCCTTCTCTCTCTGACCCTCCCCTGCTCACGCTGTCTCTCTCTCAGAAAAAAATAAAACATTTAAAAAAAAAAAAAAAAAGGATCTCACCGTAAGTGACAATATATGGATGGCCCTAGAGGATATTATGCCAAGTAAAATAAGTCAGAGAAAGACAAGCACCATATGATTTCACTTATATGTGGAATCTAAAATATAAAACAAACAAAAAAACCAGACTGTTAAATACAGAAAACAAATCGGTAGTTGTCAGAGTGGAGGTGGGTGGGGGGATGGGTTACATAAAGCGAATTAAGAGGTACAAACCTGTTTATAAAATAGCTAAGTCACAGAAAAGTACAACATAAGGAATAAAGTCAATAATATTGTAATAACATTGTATGATGACAGTGACTATAATTATCGTGGTAAACACTGAGTACTGTATAGAATTGTCAGGTTGTATACCTGAAACTAATATAACATTGTATGTTAATTATACTTAAATTAAAAAACATTCTAGGGGCACTTGGCTGGCTCAGTTGGTAAAGCATGTGACTTTGGATCTCAGACCCACCACACTGGGTATAGATTATTTAAAAAATTAAAGTGCAGGGGCGCCTGGGTGGCTTAGTCGGTTAAGCGTCCGACTTTTGCTTAGGTCATGATCTCGCAGTTCGTGGGTTCGAGCCCCGCATCGGGCTCTGTGCTGACTGCCA